ATATATATATATATATATATTAAGAAGAATTTCCAAAAAAATTGTATCTGATTCTTTTCAGGTAGCCCTGTTCCTGCCGTAGCACCAAAAAAATAGCACCTCATTGAAGTATCTTCTTATCATCGTTATCTTATATATAAAAAAATATAAAACTCGTGCTTTTTTTTTTATAAACGTGACGGAGACTGGTTTTGGCGTCTGAAGTCGAGATACCTCCATCAGAGTCTGTTCGACCTTTTATAAAAAAAAGGCTCTTTGAAGATGAAGTTCTCGTCACTTTTGACCAATTATAATAAAAAAAACAGCAGATCTTTTGTTCAGGTGTTTTTTTTTGTCTAAACTGACTAAAAAAAGCAGGGTACCCTTGTGTTTAAATATGATTCAAAGAAAGGTAAGAGTTTGGAACTCGGGGTGGAACAACGAAGAAGAATGAAATTTTAAAGCTCCGCAAAAAAAAAACCGCTGGCTCAAAGCGTTTCCCAAGGAAAAGGAAACGCAGTAAAAAAAAAAGTCACACGCGTTAATCGTTCCAGTAAATTGGCCATGATAAAACGAAAAAAAAAACCAAAGTAAGCTTCAGCAGAAAGGGACCGGTAGGTTACGGCTAAAAAAAGTCACATTTAGAAATTCATGCCGGTTCATAACAAATTCATTGAAGAAAAAAATTACCTCCAAATATCCGCCGTTGTCATATCCGCCAACGACCACGTAAAAAAATCTCATCTGAGCTGGTGCGATCTTAGCAAAACCAAATCCTACCCAAAAAAAAGTTTTCACTTTCAAATGAAAGGTCAACGTGTTACTTTGATCGTCAAAAAAAAATCGCATAAGGAAATTGCCATCGTCGAAGGAACGAGAGAACAGTCAAAAAAATATGAAAATATGTCGAAATCATGAATTAGTGTTTAATCATTTGGCTAGTTCCCTTTCTTCCTCCTTAAATTTTCATTCCTCTTCCGCGGATTAGTTCAAAAAAACGTCTGTTTGCCCTTTTCATACTTTTTCTTTAATTCGGTTTTTTTAAAAAAACCTGTTATAAAAGCACTGAACGGGATGTGATAAGAACTGACTAAAAAAAAAAGAACAAGATTCTTGAATTGCTTACAAATGATATTGCGTATGATGCAAAAAAATCGCAGTTGAGAGCGCTACTTATGCAATAGCGAAAATCAGACCTGAAAAAAATCAGGCCTGTACGGGATTCGAACCACTGACCTCTGCGATACTAGTGCAACGCTCTATCAATTGAGCTAACAAGCCAACTGGGAGCAGGCCATCAAATTAATTCGACATAAACCCGTAGATGATAAATCAAACAACAACAAACATATGAAACATATGTATGAACTGCGGTTATGAAACGTATATGTGCACGATCCTTCGCAGTAAAGCACTATTTGAGCAATAGTGAAAATCAGACCTGAAAAAAATTTCAGGCCTGTACGGGATTCGAACCACTGACCTCTGCGATACTAGTGCAGCGCTCTACCAATTGAGCTAACAAGCCAACTGGGAGCAGGCCATCAAATTAATTCGACATAAACCCGTAGATGATAAATCAAACAACAACAAACATATGAAACATATGTATGAACTGCGGTTATGAAACGTATATGTGCACGATCCTTCGCAGTAAAGCACTATTTGAGCAATAGTGAAAATCAGACCTGAAAAAAATTTCAGGCCTGTACGGGATTCGAACCACTGACCTCTGCGATACTAGTGCAGCGCTCTACCAATTGAGCTAACAAGCCAACTGGGAGCAGGCCATCAAATTAATTCGACATAAACCCGTAGATGATAAATCAAACAACAACAAACATATGAAACATATGTGTGAACTGCGGTTATGAGACGTATATGAGAACGATCCTTCGCAGTAAAGCACTATTTGAGCAATAGTGAAAATCAATTGGTAGAGCGCTCAATTGGTAGAGCGCTGCACTAGTATCGCAGAGGTCAGTGGTTCGAATCCCGTACAGGCCTGAAATTTTTTTCAGGTCTGATTTTCACTATTGCTCAAATAGTGCTTTACTGCGAAGGATCGTGCACATATACGTTTCATAACCGCAGTTCATACATATGTTTCATATGTTTGTTGTTGTTTGATTTATCATCTACGGGTTTATGTCGAATTAATTTGATGGCCTGCTCCCAGTTGGCTTGTTAGCTCAATTGGTAGAGCGCTGCACTAGTATCGCAGAGGTCAGTGGTTCGAATCCCGTACAGGCCTGAAATTTTTTTCAGGTCTGATTTTCACTATTGCTCAAATAGTGCTTTACTGCGAAGGATCGTGCACATATACGTTTCATAACCGCAGTTCATACATATGTTTCATATGTTTGTTGTTGTTTGATTTATCATCTACGGGTTTATGTCGAATTAATTTGATGGCCTGCTCCCAGTTGGCTTGTTAGCTCAATTGGTAGAGCGCTGCACTAGTATCGCAGAGGTCAGTGGTTCGAGTCCCGTACAGGCCTGAAATTTTTTTTAAGGTCTGATTTTCACTATTGCTCAAATAGTGCTTTACTGCGAAGGATCGTGCACATATACGTTTCATAACCGCAGTTCATACATATGTTTCATATGTTTGTTGTTGTTTGAACTACAGAAGAAGTTCACATGGTTTTTTCAGTTAGGTGATTTAGCCACTTTGTGGAGGGGTATAGTAAGTTTGTCTCGTCACGTCAATTCTCAATGGTCTAACCCTTCGTTTTTTTTTTGTCATCATTGCTGTTGGAGAGAGATCGACAAGTGACCAAACTGAGGCAACACAGCCAATCACGGTATACCCAACACAATAAGGGTATACCTTCTTCCCTTTCCATGAGAGTTTTCAATGTTCATAATGAAAATAAATGAGAGCCGTTGTTTGACAACTCGTGTAATTCAGTCAGTAGTTCTTCATTTTCTATTGCCAACAAACCTCCAGGCTTCCTATTCCACCCTCAACTTTTCCAATGGCCACATCGTATCCCATCATGCCAGTCGGAGCTGCTGTTACAACACCAAACGCGATCCATCCTGTAGCTCTCACTTCTACTGTAAAGTGTATCGTGTCCATGCTACTGTTGTACATCCAGGAGACATTATAATTTCCATCTTGGAGATTCAGAAAGGTTGGTTGCACAGGCATGATCGGCATAGAGGCAGTCGCTACTGCTGAAACTAATGAACGAGTCAAGTTAATGGTACTTAGATATTTTGGCTTTATCAACTGAGTTGATAAAGTAAATTGGCTACCGTTAAGAGTTTCAACGCTTGAAACTTTGAAACTCTACGTTGGCCAATTTACTTAATCAACTGAGTCGATAAAACTAGAATTCTCTTGTTACTCCCACCGACGCAGCACCACAGTTTTTTTGGGAACTTATCCCTTTTATATAATGGTACTTAGTTTGATAATCACTTCCTAGCTTCTGGCTCTTATTAGATGTAGATAAGGGATCTTTAATTGTTTTTTTGGTGGTTAAATAGTTTTCAGCTTGGCAAGACTACCTTGGCAATTAAAAAGATTCTAGAAGAAGACTACAAGGCATTGTCATAATTCATGTTTTATTTTTACAGAAGTTTAATGTTTTACCGGAAACTGATCTCTCATACTAACTGAAAATACTACTTAAGGAGAACAAAAAAACAATGATTTATTGTTAAGTACCTAGAGAAATCTTTGCTGAGTTTGACAGGTACCCACACCTTCCTGTCAAACAGTAAGATGCAAAACCCAAACCAATTATGACTAGGTAAATAAACAAAATGGTAAACACCACAGCGTACACTATTTAGTAATGGTGCACGCGGGAGGTTGCTAAGCACGAAAGAAGCGCAAGAGTCGCGTAAGAGTCGCCCAAGAGGCGCGCGAGGAAACTAGTCTTTGCATTTTAAAACGCCTAGAATTTCCACTGAGGAATCCCTCACAACACACGAAGCACGATACGGAAGTGCGTATATGACGTCACAGGCCACCTCATGCGTAAAACCGGTTCTCAGTTCAGTCGGTGGCTCTCGGTTGCTAGCTGAGTAATGGCGGACGGGTTTTTCGTGAATTTCGGCCAGCTATATCAAGGCGTATTTCGCTTCCATCGACCTAAAAAGTATCGCATAGTACAATTCTAACCATATTAACTTGATTGGCGCTAGAAAATGTCAAAACGAGAGACAAAAATGTTCGTCGTAGTGGCACTTTAACATCTTTGATGCTCTCAAACTTCCCGTGTGTTTCATATCTCTATATGAAGGTAAGTTTATACGTAAACGAAAATATTTAAATGCAGAACCTCTGCAATAAAGATTTTTTATTCCATCCTAATCCCCTCTCGACTTATATTATTAACGCAGAGCAATGCGGTTTAATCTTTTACCTGCTGTCGGGGTTGGGGTCGTCGGAGTCATACCAGCTGGTACAAGTGTCACTTGTTGATAACCTCTATTATTACCAGCGTGCTGTGCAAGTGCATCGTTGGTTGGAGAATATGCCCACACAATGTAAATTGACATTCCTTGCTGTTGATAACGAAACATTTACAAAGAAAAAGCAAAAATTATTGACCCATAGCGAAACAAACGAGAATTCTTAGAGTCAGGGTTACTCAAAAATATTTCTCATCATAAAGGTAAGGGGAAAGCCAACATTTACACGGGGTGGATTATACTACCATTAATTACCTGAATAACAACATCCTTTTCGTCGTTGGTGTTGAGCTTGCGATAAAACTTCAACTTTGTTATACCGTTATGTTCACTAGAGTAGGTCAACATCCAGTCTTGACGAGCATCCCTGTCAGGTGCTTGGAAACCGAGTGTTTGACGATCCTAGAAAAAAGGTAGAAATTTAATGCATTGTATCGATCAAGAAATAGTCTATTGTTCCGGCTGAACTTCTCACATTAGGCATTAAACAATAGTCCTTTTGTTCTTTGTAGCGCCTCGAGACTTTGGCCGAAGCAACGCGAAAAATTAAAGTTCGTGACTAATCGGAAAAAAATTTCGGCCTTACGATTTAGCTACGTTGGGGGAGTGGGTAGCGTACTTTACTTGTATAAAAATTCGTGTGGTACTCATTTTCGATCAGTTTTAATTTCGCGGGATTTAATTTCGCGCACCTTATGGAGGACTTATTCGCGCAGCTTTAAATTCGTACGGGACATTTTTCTGGTTCGGTTTCTTAACTCGAGTTTACAGATGCAGTTAGCCTTTTTGTCATTACACAATTAACTAATAGCACAGAATTCGCGTAAACCTAAAGCAAGTTTTTCACCGCCCGCTGCTGGCACATTTTTCACGCAGTTTTTTATTTGTTTGTTTGAGTACAGAAGAATATCGCATGGTTTGTTCAGTTAGGTGAAATCAACAACAGCGACAACAACAATTTATTTGTATTCCTTTTACACAGATGGTATTGCATATGATAACATTAACAATAATTAGTGAAGAAAATACTGGTGTATTTATTGGTGGAATATTACATGGAACCAGAAAGAATCCTGACAGAAATTTCTCAATTGAAGAAGAAGATGATGAAATCATCTTTTATATCTAATGTTTGATGGTAATCTTTGTACGCATAAATAGAACGGATAACTTGCCTTTTTAAACACCAACCTCTAATTCTCACTGAAAAACTATTTAGTATCCAGTGATACTGTTAACTGTTGTAATATTACCATATATAATAGTATTTCGTAGTACATTGTGTAATTCTAAATTATTCAGCATCAATAAAGTTAATGTTTAATTCAAAGTATTTTCGCGCGGATTATATTTGGCGCATGTGAATTTCGCGCACAGTATGAAATTGTGCGCGAATTCTAGTACTGCGCGAATTTTAATACAAGTAAGGTATATTTGCACTCGACAGGTAAATTGTAACCATACAACCCCAGGGAGAAAATTGACCACTGATTTAGCCACTTTGGTGGAGGGATAGAGTAAGTTTGTCTCGTCAAGTCAATTCTCGATGGTCTAACCCTTTTTTTTTTTTTGTTATCATTGCTGTTGGAGAGAGATCGACAAGTGACCAAACTGAGGCAACACAGCCAATCACAGTATATCAACACAGTAAGGGTATACCTTCTTCCCTTTCCATGAGATTTTTCAATGTTTATAATGAAAATAAATGAGAGCCGTTGTCTGACAACTCGTGTAATTCACTCAGTAGCTCTTCATTTTCTATTGCCAACAAACCTCCAAGCTTCCTATTCCACCCTCAACTTTTCCAATGGCCACATCGTATCCCATCATGCTAGTCGGAGCTGTTGTTGCAACACCAAACGCGATCCATCCTGTAGCTCTCACTTCTACTGTAAAATGTATCGTGTCCATGCTACTGTTGTACATCCAGGAGACATTATAATTTCCATCTTGGAGATTGAGAAAGGTTGCTTGCACAGGCATGACCGGCATAGAGGCAGTCGCTACAGCTGAAACTAATGAACGAGTCAAGTTAATGGTACTTAGATAATTTGGTTTTATGAACTGCGTTGATAAAGTAAATTGGCTACCGTTAAGAGTTTCAGCGCTCGAAACTTTGAAACTCTACGTTGGCCAATTTACTTAATCAAATCAGCTGAGAAAACTAAAATTCTCTTGTTACTCATATTGACGCAGCACCACAGTTTCTTTAGAAACTTCTCCCTTTTAGTTAATGGTAGTTAGTTTGATAATCACTTCCTAGCTTCTGGCTCTTGTTAGATGCAGATAAGGGATCTTAAATTGTTCTTTGGTGATTAAATAGGTTTCAGCTTGGCAAGACTACTGTGGCAATTAAAAAGAGTCTGGAAGAAGTCTCCAAGGCATTGTGATAATTTTAAGTATAATTTTTTTACAGAAGTTTAATGTTTTACCGGAAACTAATCTCTCATACTAAAGTATTACTTAAGGAGAACAAAAAACAATGAGAAATCTTTACTGAGTTTGACAGGTACCCACACCTTCCTGTCAAACAGTAAGATGTAAAACCCAAACCAATTACGACTAGGTAATTAAAAAAAACGGTAAACACCACAGCGTACACTACTGCGTTATGGATGCACGCGGGAGGTTACTAAGCACGAAAGAAGCGTAAGAGACGCGTAGGAGTCGCGCGCGGAAACTAGTCTTTGCATTTGCTCATGTCAGCAGCCTATACCCATGGGCAAATGTTGGACACTGAATTGACCAATCAAGGCGCACGCTCTACTTAAGTTATGTTATAATCACCTTTCCTTGCTTTCTGTCAACTTGCTTGATTTATTTTTTGAGTTCTTATTGCACCCCTGTGAGAACTGCCTTATTCCGATTGGTCGTTGCCGGTGTAATTACCATGGGTGGGGATTTAACAAATTTCGATGGAACTACTATATATTAGCAGTTTAGACCAGAGGTCTTTATTTGAACTAGGAGTAGGGGTCATCAAGTCTAACAAGAATTAGATCTAACAAGGTAAAACAGTGTGATTGTCGTTTGCCAAATGTGCAGTTGTGGGTCTTCAAAAATGAGCCACTTAAAACTGACTTTACAAGGAGAATTAGAGTCCCACCCAGTATATCAGCCACGAGAGTTTGCTTTCATTTTTAACAATTAGTTCACAAGGAATGACGTCAGACTTACCTGTTGGTGTCATCGTCATTGGTGCCGTGGGAGTAACACCAGGAATAAGTGTGATATTGTAAACCCCTCTATAGTTCATGCCATGGGGTTGCAATTCGTCGCTCATGGGATGATATGCCCATACGATATGAATTGGCATTCCTTTCTAGAAGAGATAGATAAAAACAAGTGATGGTATTTTTTAGTTACCCGAGAAACTTTATTGAAAACATGATTTTCGCCTAAGGAGTACTTTAGCCTGAGAATATTTGTTATAGGTATAAGATCTCCTTTGAGTAATGTTACCTGGCCTTTCCACGCTTCATGGTAGTAATATGGTAAAGCATAAATGAAAAATCTTTACAAATGCCTAAATGGTGCCCAATATCATGAAAAATGTATCGAATGGGCTTCAATGTCCTACACGATCCCAGTGGAGTGTTATTGCTTTCTTACTAATGGAAACAAAGAATGATGTTCAATAGCCATGTTTGCTCATCACCTCGGCCTTCATTACTGTCTGATTGTGACGAAAGACTCGTAAACGAAGGAAAGTCTAAAACACTGTGAGTTTAGTGTGATAGGGCGAATTAAAGTTTCTCCTAATTCTCTTGTGGGACGAAGCACCTTGTCTTAGTTGAACCATCTGTGTAAAGATCTTTTTTCGCATGTAAAAAAATGACAAAAGGTAACGAGAGTCTTACCGGAATAGCCGTATCATTTTGAAGGTCAGTGGTGTTCCGCAGGCGATAAAATTTCAATGTTGTCACATTGTCCTTCTCACTCGCGTTCGTGAGCGTCCAATCTTGTTGGGTATCTAGTCGGGGTTGCATGCGGCCAACTGTAAGATAGTCCTGGAAGGAATAAAGTGAAAAGAAGTCATAGGTCGTTTGCAGTAATTGCAGAAGGATGTTTCATCGATCACCCTTTCGTCATATTTGTTCAAAGAGGACCCTACAAAGTTTTTTTTCCTAGAAAAATTCTCAATTTAATACTTATGTACCTGCAGATAGCTCGTTCCGTTATCTGATACTCCTCCTATTGCCACATCATAGTAGTTCATCATATTTGGAGCCACTTCAGCAACACCGAAACCAACCCAACCTGTGGTTCTCACTTGCACCATAAACTCCAATTTGTCTGAGGCTGCGTTATAATAGTAGGAAACATTGTAATTTCCCTTGCCATCGAGCATAATCAGGTCGGAATGTGGCACTGGCTGGACTACAGCTGTGGATGGTGCCATCATTATTGTCGGCGTTGGAGTGATAACCGGGATGAGGGTGACGTTGTAAAACCCTCTGTATTGATTGCCATGATAT